AGTCAGGTTTGTAGGCCTCTTTGCTCACACACGCTTTTTCAGTTCTGCCCACACATTTTCTTTAGGATTGAGGTCAGGGCTTTGTGATGGCCACTCCAATACCTTGACTTTGTTGTCCTTAAGCCATTTTGCCACAACTTTGGAAGTAGGCTTGGGGTCATTGTCCATTTGGAAGACCCATTTGCGACCAAGCTTTAACTTCCTGACTGATGTCTTGAGATGTTGCTTCAATATATCCACATAATTTTCCTTCCTCATGATGCCATCTATTTTGTGAAGTGCACCAGTCCCTCATGCAGCAAAGCACCCCCACAGCATGATGCTGCCACCCCGTGCTTCACGGTTGGGATGGTGTTCTTCGGCTTGCAAGCCACCCCCTTTTTCCTCCAAACATAACGATGGTCATTATGGCCAAACAGTTCTATTTTTGTTTCATCAGACCAGAGGACATTTCTCCAAAAAGTACGATCTTTATCCCCATGTGCAGTTGCAAACTGTAGTCTGGCTTTTTTATGGCGGTTTTGGAGCAGTGGCTTCTTCCTTGCTGAGCAGCCTTTCAGGTTATGTTGATATAGACCCATGGGGCGGTGTGCAATTGGCCCAGCGTCGTCCAGGGTAGGGGAGGGAATGGCCGGCAGGGGATGTGGCTCAGTTGGTAGAGCATGGCGTTTGCAACGCCAGGGTTGTGGGTTCGATAAAATAATGTATGCGCTAACTGTAAGTCGCTCTGGATAAGAGCGTCTGCTAAATGACTAAAAATGTAAATATAGGACTCGTTTTACTGTGGATATAGATACTTTTGTACCTGTTTCTTCCAGCATCTTCACAAGGTCCTTTGCTGTTGTTCTGGGATTGATTTGCACTTTTCACACTAAAGTACGTTCATCTCTAGGAGACAGAACGCGTCTCCTTCCTGAGCGATATGACGGCTGCATGGTCCCATGGTGTTTATACTTGCATACTATTGTTTGTACAGATGAACGTGGTACCTTCAGGCGTTTGGAAAATGCTCCCAAGGATGAACCAGACTTGTGGAGGTCTACCATTTTCTTTCTGAGGTCTTGTCTGATTTCTTTTGATTTTCCCATGATGTCAAGCAAAGAGGCACTGAGTTTGAAGGTAGGCCTTGAAATACATCCACAGGTACACCTCCAATTGACTCAAATTATGTCAATTAGCCTATCAGAAGCTTCTAAAGCCATGACATCATTTTCTGGAATTTTCCAAGCTGTTTAAAGGCACAGTCAACTTAGTGTATGTAAACTTCTGACCCACTGGAATTGTGATACAGAGAATTATAAGTGAAATAATCTGTCTGTAAACAATTGTTGGAAAAATGACTTGTGTCATGCACAAAGTAGATGTCCTATCCGACTTGCCAAAACTATAGTTTGTTAACAAAACATTTGTGGAGTGCTTGAAAAACGAGTTTTAAATGACTCCAACCTAAGTGTATGTAAACTTCCGACTTCAACTGTACAGTGCATTCGGAAAGTATTCTGACCCCTAGACTTTTTCCACATTGTTACATTACAGCCTTATTCTAACATTTATTAAATTGTTTTCCTCATCAATCTACACACAATACCACATAATGACAAAGCAAAAACAGGTTTTTAGAAATGTTAGCAAAAAAAGAAATAAAAGCAAAGGGTCTGAATTCTAAAAACCTGTTTTCGCTTTGTCATTATGGAGTATTGTGTGTAGACTGATGAGGAAAAACATTTATTTAATCAATTTTAGAATAAGGCTTTAACGTAACAAAATGTGGAAAAAGTCAAGGGATCTGAATACTTTCCGAATGCACTGTAAGAGGAAATTATAATTCAATCAAATCACTAAATCAGTTGATTTATTTGGATCCCTGTGTATTGCAGTTGAGCTGAAGACCAGTTGTAGGCTTATAGTAAGTTTGTTAATTAGGCTTGTGGATGTAAAACCACACATACCTGCCCTCCTCCATGCCCAGACAGACCGTGGGGGTATCACTGGTCTTCCCCGCTGAGGAGTGTTTATTTTCAGGGTTCCCCTCCCCGTTCTCCTGGGTCCTCTGCTCCATGGGTACGTAGGCCATACACAGGATCCGTGACTCCACATTGAAGCACTCGGTCACTTTGGGGCTAGAGTTCTGCATGGCCACGATGGCTATCTGACCCATCTGGTTGGTGCAGCTCGCCACCTGAACAGGGATAAGAGTAGTAACATTTAGGAGGAGGGACAGGAGTTTTTCCTGTCCACATGACCTGACCAGGAAAGATTCTATGCCCCAGCTAGGAAATAAAAACCTTTTACAGAGCTTTTCAATTCTGACCTCATCCCTCAAGGGGTTGTGATAAAATGGAGAAAGTTTGAAAAACAACAATCACAACAACAAACCTTTACAATGCTTTTAACCACTCCAGCAGAAAGCTGCACAGCAGACTGACCAATAGGAGCGTAGAGGGACATAATGGCCCTCTCAATCAGGCCAACAGTGAGTCATTTACAATAGAAAAAAGTGTTTGCTTTCATTGAGAATGGGAACAGTCAATCACTGGAGGACATTGGGAGACATAGTATTGTGAATGTTTTATCCCTGTGAAGTAAATACATTTACATTTACATTTTAGTCATTTAGCAGACGCTCTTATCCAGAGCGACTTACAGTTAGCGCATACATTATTTTATCGAACCCACAACCCTGGCGTTGCAAACGCCATGCTCTACCAACTGAGCCACATCCCCTGCCGGCCATTCCCTCCCCTACCCTGGACGACGCTGGGCCAATTGTGCGCCGCCCAGCTAAGAGGCACTAAGTGGAGTAAACTGATTCATACAGTAAACATACCACTAATGAATGAAAGGGCCTCTGTTCAATTATTCATGTAAATCTCAGTGTGAGTGGAAGAAAGCTTTTTTTTTTTTTTATAGCTGATGATGAGTAAGATGTCTACTCTCAACACTTGGCTCTGGCTAGAAACATAAGCGATCATTGATATAATATACATTTGTTATTATGCAATGAAGCACATGGGTGTCCATACTGTACAAATCATAAAGGTATATGTTTTAGAAAATAAAACATCCAGGTGTCCTCACCCACACACAGCCGTGTCCCAGAGCAGGGGTGTCGGCTGTGCTCTCTATGTTGATGTGGGGCTCGGGGTTATGGACGGCACACTCCACCTGACAGAGACAGAAGGAACAGACACAGTTTTCACATCACATGTGTATGGAGTTTGTAGTAGTTTCCTACATGGCATTGTAACAAATGATTCATACAGTCATGGGATGTGTACTCTGTACATGGAGCCATTAACTTTGCCCATGGCTCAGAGAGAAAGAGGCTGTGTGGGGGAGGGGAGGCCAACCTTGAACTCCTGTAGTTTGGACATGACCACAGGCATCTGCTTGAGCAGAAGAGGATGTTTCTGCTTCTTGATCTGGTTACCATCATCCTCCGCAAAGAACCAGCCCTGCAGGTTGTCCTCCTCTGTTAGCGAACACACACACACACACACAAACACACACATAAACACACACACAAACACACACATAAACAGTCCCTACCAGAGTAATTTAATTTCTAAGAGGAACACTATGTCCAGTGTGGAGTGATCCTAAATTCAAACCGGTAAATATTACATTTCCAAATATGTTACATAACACCTGATTCTATAATCTACACACCAGATTCAGGCTTTATAACTTAATGATCCATTTTACAGTCAGGAGACCACAGAACTGGAAAAGTGAATTTGAACTAATGATATTCGCTTAGTAAACATTGATTTTTAAATACCCATTGCTATGCAACTGAACCTGAAATTTGGAAGTGAGCCACGAAGCCAGTGGCAGTTTGAAACATTTACAAGTGGAAAAAGAGCAGAGAGGCAGTCCCTCTGCATACAACTACTACAGTGTTCTATGGAACTACAAAGTGACAGAGGCAGTGGAGAGAAGCAATAGGGAACACAAAGTATCCAATGTCAACAGACAGAGCATTGGGTCTGTGATTGTGACTGAGGCCAGAGTAGACGTACCCAGAGCCAGCTTGGCCATCTGCAGGTTACTGATCCACGACTGTTTGATGGCCGGAGAGAATGTATTGAACACTGCACTGAAGTATGTGGGCCTGCCAGACCTGCCCAGAGGAGAAAGAGTGAGAGACAGAGAGAGAGATATGATACAGTAGAGAGAGCGAGAGAGAGAGAGCAGTGTTGATACAGTGACAGTATCCATTATACAGTGTGTTGCTCAGAGCCCACAGTGCATTGAGATTGAACACTGGGGTGTATTCAAACATGTTGGTATGGTAGGAGTGAATGAACATTGATTTTATTTCAAGTCAATAACCCCTACAGTGCACTACTTTTCTGCCTCCTAACATTCACTTCAGCATCATTTCTATTTTCAAACATTTATGCAACTGCTCAGTGATCCTGATTCTGAATAGAGCCTACATATCTCCCACATCCCCAGATTACACAGAGGAACAACACAGTGCTGTCAGATGACCCTAACAGCTGAAGGGACATGTGATCCTGCTCTCTGACAGCAGACAGGGCTGTGAATAATTGAAGACAACGATGATTATAACAGCTAATGACAGCCAACGTAAATACCACATCACAGAAGGATCTCTCTGGCATGCAACTTCCCGTTCACTCCCTCTCTCCATCTCTGTCTCTCTCTCTCTGGAGTGTGTTGTTTTTAGATGGGGGGGATCAGAGAGGAATGAGAGCAGCAGAGTTGTATCTCTAAACGTGATGCCCTGGGGTGTGAGGGGTCAGCATGAGTAAACAAGGTGCCGGTTAGGTCCAGGAGGGACCATGTGGAGGGAGGGAGCACTCTCCTATAGTAATGAGTTGATGAAACAGCTGCACTGTCTTCTCTGAGGAGCTAAAACACACTGATCCACAGCAGAAAGCACAGCGCTCTAACAGACTCAATCATACCCCTGAGATCAGATTAGAACAAAATTAAAGTTGTTTATCCACCGTGATGGTAACACTCTGTGCTCATTCCTGGATGGTGAGAGGGGACAGTGAGGGAGTGAGGACATAGGGGCCTAACCTAGTGAGTGAGAGGGAGACAGCGGTGTGGTGGGTGTGAGGTCTATGTGTGTGAGAGACAGCAGTGGTGTGTGTCAGACACTGACTTGTCCGGTTTGCCAGGCAGCTGCAGCTGGATCCTACAGCGGTCTGCAGCCCGGATCTCCTCCTCCTTCTTCAGGATGAGACGCTGCAGACCTGACACCCAATCATGGGCCACCGTAGCGTTAACGTTCTACAGTGAGGGAGAAAAAAGAGCCAGAGAGAGAGAGTCAGATAAAGTATTAACACAAGACACTGCTTATACCATAGCCCCATAACGTCAGATGCATGCTAGATCTATTACAGCTTTCAATCATGCCATTGGGCGAGCAGAGATTGACTCCACACACCAGCTCTTCCAAATTGACCACAAAAGCCCCCCTCTGTCTTGTGTGTGTGAGACACATGTCTCTCTGTGTGCCTCTGGCCTGGTCTCTGCTCCCCCACCACTCTCAGACAGACACATCACTAACACTGGCTAGTTGAGTCTCACAGCTCAGCACTACACAGCACTGTCTGTGGAAACTACTGTGCACCAGAGCTCACACACACACACAGCCTGACATGACAGAATGGGGACCCCATATCAAAACCTCAGGCCACATTTATACACAGCCAAATAATATACTTGTATTCTCACAGGCAGAAAACAAGCCTTGAAATGAATGCAGCGATATATGCGGCTCACCTGGTAGTTTCCCTTGAGGCTTCCGATCATGCTGGAGATCTGGTTGACCAGGCTGAGGTCGTGGATGAGGTTCTGCAGGTCCTGGTACAGCTGGCCTGGACCCATGTACAGCTTATCTGGGAGGAGAGACAATGACAACAGGTCAATAAACGATCATGTCATTGTCAACAGAGAACTGTGTTATTACCAAGCAAAGTTGGTAAAAGAAGTAAGTTGTGATTCACAAAGCTGAGCCCATATCCCATCTGAACCCACTGACCCAACAATATGAGCCATACAAATCTCAAGGGCAATTATTTTGCATTGAAAGCAGGAGGTAAGATAAGACATACTGCCAGACAAAGTCAGTCTGTTTCCCAACTTGGCATGGCTCTGAACTGTGTGTGTGTGTGTGTGTGTGTGTGTGTGTGTGTGTGTGTGTGTGTGTGTGTGTGTGTGTGTGTGAGAGAGTGTGTGTACTTGAGTTTCCTGGGTTCAAACTTCCCTCTATCGCGCGGGTGTGTGTGTGTTTCTTTGTAGATGTGCCCTGCCTAACCGAACCAACGGCCCAGTGAAGTAAGTGATTATTGTGTTTCTGTGCGTCCAGCTCGGGACAATGGGCTGCTTTGTTTGTCAGTGCTCAGCCTGTATATCAGGAAGAGACACAGACAGAGAGCCAGACTCCTCCGAGAGAGAAAGAGGAGAGGCCCCTGTAGGCTCTGCCAGCACATAGCCTTCTCTCAAGGCTGTAACTCAAATAAACCTGCAGCACAGAGAGGAGGACCCTCCTCGTCTTTCAGACAGGCCTGCCAACAAGTCATCATACGGTATGATTTGCACCATATGGTACTGTCTGCTAACAAGTAAGCAGGGAAGCTCTTAAAGATGATTTCACCATATGACTTTTCAACTTAAACGTGGTCTACCACTCTCATAAGGCAGCACATTGGAACTGGGAGGGGGTTAATGTGAATGGGAATCTCTGGCGCCAGGATTCCTGGAGCTCCCTCTGGTTTTGCCAGTCTACTTTCTGTGGGGTCTATAATGGCCCTTCACACTGCCGTAGTGTTCCAGCTCCATGGCAACCGCTCCATTCTTCCCCAGGGCTGCCAAGAGAGGACACTCAGAGAAACTTCCACTCTGTTTGCACTGCATTAAGTACTTCACGTAGGTGGTGGTCACACTGGAGACAGAAAGAGTTATTCAGAACTGGCTACTTCAGATTGTACGTTTACGTACAGAAGCTAATTCAGGGACTTTCTCTTCATCATGTACCAAGATATCATTCCACTTATTAATATATTCAGGTATGTTCAAGTGTATGGTAAAAATAACAATTTGTCCTAGCTTCTGAAACATGTTAAAATGTGATGTGGTTTCTGTTCTATTGAGCTAATTGTCTTGTCTAATGGAGTTAAAATATTCCCTGCCTCATCTGTCTTAATGATGTCTGTGTGTGGCTGGAACCCAGGTCAGGGCAGAATCACTGAATAAGCTTCAGTCATGCTTGTTGGCTTGTCATCCATGGGAATTCTACAGGCCATGATTCATCTCTATGACTATAGATATTATATGCTCTGACAAACAATGATAATAGGCCACAATGAGACCGAGTGCCATGGACAAGCACTCTGGCCATGCTGAACCTGACCTGTAGAGCAGTCAATCATCTATGGCTCTGACCTGAACTAGTGCCACATCAGCTAGAAGAAGAAAGGGTCACGGTTTATTGTTTGAAAGTCTTTGCCAATGTAACTGACCCATCTCTTCTGGTGGTCCCAATTAGCTAAGCTGAGTACAACAGACATGAGGTAAGCAAATAGACATCCAGAGCAGAGCAGAGCACAGGGAACTGTGACATCATACGCTGGACCGTCTTTTTATTGCCTCTAGTAGGCAGGTCACCAGTTGCTTTGGCGGAACATACTGGACTATGGAGAGAGGGAGAGAAGCTGAGAGTGGGGTTTTTTCCACGTAAAATGCCTGGCCAGAACAGACACACAGAGAGGACTAACTAGGAGGAAAATCTCATCAGTATTAAAGAAATCATATGGGTCATAGAAAAAATATGGGGTGGGGGGGGTGGGGGGTTGACATGGCCTGATCCATTTCTGTCAGGTAAAAATGACCATACCGTACTGTCATGTTTTCAATTCCAGCTCCATGTCCAATGTAATTAGCTAACATTACTGAGCTGAACCAGACTGCTGTCCTGTCCATATGGATCTCTTAAGGGCAATAGGTTACTGGATGTATGTATAGGGGTCTAACCAAGGTCAGGACTAGACAGCTGGCTAGGAATATGCATGCCTGTCTGTCTGTCAGCCCAGGGTCCAGATGCTTTAGTTGACTGTTTTTAGCCCCATCAGGCCGTCTGTGGCTGGGACTAGAGGGCAGATGGAGAGGTGGCGGGTGGGTGAGTGGGTAAGAGGCTTCGGGGAGGAGAGGGGATGAAGGTGGCAGTTGGTAGTGGAGGGGAGGGAAGAGAGGAAAGGGCATTTCAGTGAGTAAGAGGATGAGAGGGAAAAATCTAAAAGGAATGGCCCATATGGTCAACTTCACTCAGGGTCCTGTGCTTTAACAATATGGATGGAGAGCAGTACAGTACATCACTAATGGACTCTTAAATAACAAAGGCTTACGCACAATGACATCCATTTACAGGCTACACTGTCATCCTCTTCTCAGCATGTGGGTCAAAGGGCATGGCTATTACACTATAAAGCCATTTGTAATCAGAGGCTCAACGTCTGTATACAGTAGGCCATACCCTCGGTATTACAACTATATATATATATATACAGTGCTAATTTTCTCTACTTTTGCATATTTGTGATACTGAATGTTATCAGATCTTCAACCAAAACCTAATATTAGATAAAGGGAACATAAGTGAACAAATAACACAACAATTACATATTTATTTCATTTATTTCATAAACAAAGTTATGCAACACCCAATTCCCCTGTGTGAAAAAGTAATTGCCCCCTTACACTCAATAATTGGTTGTGCCACCTTTAGCTGCAATGACTCCAACTAAATGCTTCCTGTAGTTGTTGATCAGTCTCTCACGCCGCTGTGGAGGAATTTTGGCCCACTCTTCCATGCAGAACTGCTTTAACTCAGTGACGTGTGGGTTTTCAAGCATGAACTGCTCGTTTCAAGTCCTGCCACAACATCTCAATTGGGCTTAGGTCTGGACTTTGACTAGGCCATTCCAAAACTTCCAATTTGTTGCTTTTTAGCAATTTTCATGTAGATTTGATTGTGTGTTTTGGATCATTGTCTTGCTGCATGACCCAGCTGCGCTTCAGCTTCAGCTCACAGACGGATGGTCTGACATTCTCCTGTAGAATTCTCTGATACAGAGCAGAATTCATGGTTCCTTCTATTAAGGCAAGTCGTCCAGGTCCTGAGGCAGCAAAGCATCCCCAAACCATCACACCACCACCACGCTTGACCTTTGGTATGATGTTCTTACTGTGGAATGCAGAGTTTGGTTTTCGCCAGGCATTACTGGAACCATGTTAGAAAGGGGGCAAATACTTTTTCATAGCACTTTTTCATAGAATGAGTATCTCTGGCTTTATACACACAACTGGAGTAGATCACACTAGCACCACAGAGGGGTTAGACAGAAGCCGGCATCAGAGGGCTTGGTGTAACAGCGCAGTGGTAATGTCTGCTCAGTCACAGCCTGCCACACACAGGAAACTACTGTCACCTCCGTTCAGAACCTCTAGCATACAATAACATAGTTACTCCATAGTTATTACAGCATCCACCATGCCTTCCCCAGTGGGTGTACTGCTGTCACCACCTGAACACCAGCTAAATGAAAAGCACACTAATGTAACATTGCATTACCCATTACCCACGCCTGGTTGGTAATCAGGAGTACGGGTGAATGTTCTTTACTAAAAAAAGCAACTGCCTGGTTATGACCACAAATCATACAGTCTGGTTATGATGGTAGCATGGTTTCCAATAAGGAGTTTAAAGGAGCGGCCGTGCCGAGCAGCTGCCAGAGCAGGCCAGGGGAATAGTGAAGTCAGTGACCCTGCATACAGTAGAGAGTGGAGCTGGCTGCTTAAAAGACTAACCACCACAGTCTCTCTGGAACTATTTTAAAACGTCTCTCAGTGGTTTGAGAGGGAAAGCCTGGCACACAGAAAATGATGGCTAAACATTTGTCGTTGGGGTGTCTGAAATGAATATACAAGCAACTTTTGCTCCTTGATATTGAGTGTGGCCATGCAACGCTATAATCTGAGAGGGAAAGCCCCCCATGATTCATCCAACAGTAACATCAGTGATTAATTTAATTACAGTAATCATCTAGAACTCATCAATATTTCAGGGGGGGTGTTGAAGCATTATCAGCACTAAGAGGCATTGGTATTGGTATTGATTTTATACACAGCAGAAAACAAGGTATTGCTGCCTGTACTGTACTGTATATGCATTGTACAGCCACTGTGCAGATTAATGACATATTATTTCAATTTATATAACGGGTGGTTCTAATCCTGAATGCTGATTGGTTAAAACCGCATTCCAGCCAGTGTCTATTCCACAAGTTACCACTGGCTACATCTATGACGTTAAAATGCCTATTTACTCTGTTCCATCTGACTGCGCAATCCACTGTCTCATCAGCCCAGCCAAGCAATTTATAAACTTGATCTCCACTATAAAAAGCATGTAAGCATGTTTCTTTAAGACTAACATTTCGTTTTCTGTCTCTCCAACATTTGCAACATTGTTTCAATATTCAAATTCGATCTCCAGCTGTCCCATAGTAATGAACGTGTCGGGAGTCGGGACGAGACAGACAGGCAGGCAGCGTTTCTCAACCAGTCGAAATCATGAATCAGCTGGCATAATTTTTATGGATATATACCAAAGAAATGTCAATTGAAAAAAGGTAAAATAAACGAAGTACAGCTAATTTGCAGTCTTTCTGTGTTGATGGCTAGCGCCTCTGAACAACAGTGTCCTGACTAGTGAGCAAATGTTCTATGCCAGACGAAATCACGCCTCATTAGCTCATTGTTATGGATGTGTCCAAATAAATGTCTCTAGAAAACGGCTTAAACAAATGCAAATGCAGCTACTTTGCTGTTATTCTGGCTGCACTTTTTGTAAATTAGACGTAGTTGGCTAGCTAGCAAGCAAGGGATAAGAATGTTGCCAGCCAGTATGTCAATGGAACATTTAGAACGAACGACTGGGTCGCGTCTCTAGCAACCGAACCAATAGAATGAACGACCAGCCGGCTTGGGTAGCAATCCTAGATTTGTGTCGGGACTATATCTTGTGGAAGGATGAAATAGTATGAATAAATTCATCAAAATAACGTTTTTAATGAAAATATGTAAATCATTATTTGAATATGTTGGTAACCCGTTGTATAAAAGTGATAATTGGCACGGTTTGCCGGCCCTCGACTTCGTCTCGGCTTCTCGGGCAATATCACTTAAATAAGGCCTCAATGGGGGGGGGGGGGGCACTAGACCACTAAACTACATCTTACCCACATCATACTCTTATTCCAATACTAAGCAGGTTACAGGCAGACCCCTGTGACAGATCTCTGTGGTTGCCAATCATTGGGACGTACTTGGTTTGGCATTGATGACCACTTTCTCTCCAAGGGGGAATTTCCTCACAGGGACCAAAAGGTTGCTACAATCGGCAATTTATAGAGTTGTTCCTCATGTACTGTCCGGGTACTGGTTAAAGTTTTACCAAATGTGGGATGTCTATTACTACGTTTGCCCATCAAAACTGGCTATCAGACTGTTACGTAGACAAGACGTACTCATGCACTTCACAGAACTTCTGACCCAGGGCGGCGTTGCCACTACCACTGCCATCAACACTGCACCTGGATACAGAGGAGAAGGACAGGCTATTTTGATTTGACTGTCGCATTCCTCCAAAGTTATGAGTGTACTGTATCCTGAGTGAGTGTATGGGGAGATAAAAAACTAACTGCACCGATCTCGTTCTACAAGTGTCCTACCGCACGGAGAAGACGCGGGCTGAAAGACACCTTGAGGTATCTTCCTGCCCCCGGACGACATGATCTGGCTGCTCAGCTCCCCCTGTTCACCACCTGCACCTGCTCAATTTAGAGCTATTTATTGACTGTCGCTCCATTTGTTACTCATGTCATTCATATTTTGGACAAATTTTTTTGGGGCAATTTTCTTGTTTAGGTTTTTCCCTTTTTCTCCCCAATTTTGTGATATCCAATTGGTAGTTACAGTCTTGTCCCATCGCTGCAACCCTGGAAGCCAGCCGCACCAATGTGTCGGAGGAAACACTGTACAGCTGGCGACCGAAGTCAGCGTGCAGGCGCCCGGGCCGCCACAAGGAGTCGCTAGAGCGCGATGGGACAAGGACATCCCAGCCGGCCAAACCCTCCCCTAACCCGGACGACCCTGGGCCAATTGTGCGCCGCCTCATGGGTCTCCCAGTCGCGGCCGGCTGCGTCACAGCCCGGGATCGAACCCGGATCTGTAGTGACGCCTCTAGTTCTGCGATGCAGTGCCTTAGACCGCTGCGCCACTCGGGAGGCCCAGTTGTTTTTCTTTTTAAGCACCTTGAGATTTGTTTACCTGTATGTGCTGTGTACTGCAATGCAGCTTTTAGCTGCCAAGTACAGCCTACTTGTAAAAATTTTATAAACTACTACTACTACTTCTTCATAAAGCTTATAGATCCTCATGTCAGAGCCAGTAGCCAGTAGCTAGTGTGTTGAGGCACAGTATAATTACAGGACACAGGCTCCTCCACTGTGAGCTGATCAGAATCATACCCAGAGAGGGTGCTCCATCTGTGGGTAGAAACCCTGGCCAGGGTGAGTACTGTGTCTGGTACTGGTGCTTTGGGTCTTACCGGACGTTGGGTGTGGCACACATGAGCACGTCGTTGAGCAGGAAAAGGCGTCGCTCCTTGGTCTTGATGACCTCTCCGTGGTCGTTGTAGACCGTCTCCACCATGTCGTCAGAGCGAATCAGGTAGCGGCTGCCGTTACTCAGGAGCTGATGGATAAGGGAGAGATACGCAGAGGTCAGATGCAATATATGGCTTCAACGGTCTTCCCCAAGGTTCATTTATGATTTATGTCAATGTACATTTATGGTACTCCCCAAAATAGAAATAAATACTCTAGATATTGCGGGGAAGCAGTGTCTGATCTTAGTATAGCTTTTTAGTCTGGACCGTGTCAAGGGTGAAATTAATATGAAGATACCATTTAGTTAGTTTAGAATATACAGTCGTGGTCAAAAGTTTTGAGAATGACAAGTATTGGTCTTCACAAAGTTCGCTGCTTCAGTGTTATGAGATATTTTTGTCAGATGTTACTATGGTATACTGAAGTGTAATTACAAGCTTTTATTGACAATTACATTAAGTTTATGCAAAGAGTCAATATTTGCAGTGTTGACCCTTCTTTTTCAAGACCTCTGCAATCCGCCCTGACATGCTGTCAATTAACTTCTGGGCCAAATCCTGACTGATGGCAGCCCATTCTTGCATAATCAATGCTTGGAGTTTGTCCGAATTTTTGGGTTTTTGTTTGTCCACCTGCCTCTTGAGGATCGACCACAAGTTCTCAATGGGATTAAGGTCTGGGGAGTTTCCTGGCCATGGACCCAAAATGTCGATGTTTTTAGTTATCACTTTTGCCTTATGGCAAGGTGCTCCATCATGCTGGAAAGGCATTGGTCGTCACCAAACTGTTCTTGGATGGTTGGGAGAAGTTGCTCTCGGAGGATGTGTTGGTACCATTCTTTATTCATGGCTGTGTTCTCAGGCAAAATTGTGAGTGAGCCCACTCCCTTGGCTGAGAAGCAACCCCACACATGAATGGTCTCAGGATGCTTTACTGTTGGCATGACACAGGACTGATGGTAGCGCTCACCTTGTCTTCTCCGGACAAGGTGTTTTCCGGATGCCCCAAACAATCGGAAAGGGGATTCATCAGAGAAAATGACTTTACCCCAGTCCTCAGCAGTCCAATCCCTGTACCTTTTGCAGAATATCAGTCTGTCCCTGATGTTTTTCCTGGAGAAAAGTGGCTTCTTTGCTGCCCTTCTTGACACCAGGTCATCCCCCAAAAGTATTCGCCTCACTGTGCGTGCAGATGCACTCACACCTGCCTGCTGCCATTCCTGAGCAAGCTCTGCACTGGTGGTGCCCTGATCCCGCAGCTGAATCAACTTTAGGAGACGGTCCTGGCGCTTACTGGACTTTCTTGTGTGTCAATGTAAATAGTCCGGGTGGCCATTTGATTAATTGTTCAGCAGTCTTATGGCTTGGGGGTAAAAGCTGTTAACGAGCCTTTTGGACCTAGACAAATTGCCATCATCAAAACTGAGGCAGCAGACTTTGTGAAAATTAGTATTTGTGTCATTCTCAAAACTTTTGACCACGACTGTACACATACTATTATAAGCACATACAGTTTACAGATAAGTGTGCTTTTAGTTACAGTTAATGCACTTTGCAGCATATACACATCCATAAAATATAGATGCCATGGGGTGGCTGTTTGCTCGTGGGCAGACAAACAGACAAATAATTATACAGTAGGGAATATTGATGTTATGCCTCCGTATCAGGCTCTGAGCCATCTCCTATATATTGCCAGATTTGTGGATAGCTGGATTCTCAGTAAAGAATGTGAAGCATATACAGTCAAGGCCTCAACACCCACACAACAGAAGAAACAATCTGTTTAAACATTAAAATATCATCAAGTAATAGAGGACATACACTGAACCCCTATAGTCTGAAGAAGATCAATGGTGTGTGTGGACATGTTAAACTATACTTATGTGGACCAGAAGTCCCCACAAGAATAGTAAACAAACTGGGGACATTTTGTTAGTCCCCACAAGGTCAAATGCTATTTCTAGGGGGTTTAGGGTTAAGGTTAGAATTTGTGTTAGGAGCTAGGGTTAGGTTTAGGGTTACAGTGCATTCGAAAAAGTATTCAGACCCCTTCACTTTTTCCACATTTTGTTACATTACAGCCTTATTCTAAAATGGATTAAATTGTGTTTTTTTCCCCTCACCAATCTAAACACAATACCCCATAATGACAAAGCAAAAACAGGTTTTTATTTTTGTTTGCAAATTTATGAAAAATTAAAATGGAAATATCACATTTATGTAAGTACTCAGACCCTTCACTCAGTACTTTGTTTGGCAGCGATTACAGCCTTGAGTCTTCTTGGGTATGACGCTACAAGCTTGTATAGACAGGTGTGTGCCTTTCCAAATCATGTCCAATACATTGAATGTACCACAGGTGGACTCCAAATTTCTAAAAACCTGTTTTCACTTCGTCATTATGGGGTATTGTGTGTGGTTTGATGAAAAAATTATATATTTCATCAATTTCTGAATAAGGCTATAACGTAACAAAATGTGGAAAAAGTCAAGGGGTCTGAATACTTTCCGAATGCACTGTAGGGATAAGGTTAGGGTTATGGAAAATAGGATTTTGAATGGAAATGAATTGTGTGTCCCCACAAGGTTAGTTATACAAAACTGTGTGTGTGTGTGTGATGGTGTGAGTGAGTGTAATTGTGTGTGTGTGTGTGTGTGTGTGTGTGTGTGTGTGCCAGAGCAATACCTTGTTGAGGTAGCGTTCATTCATAGCCTTGGCTATGTGTCTGATCTCACAGCGCTGGTCAGCCTCCATCTTCTTCTCATTGAGCTTCTCAGCCAGGGTCTCCAGTTCTGTCAGGGCCATCTGTAGGGGCAGCCTGTCACTGTGACCTGCTGGGGTGTTCTTCAACATGTCCTGCCATACAGCATGGAGAGATAACACATTCAGAATATTACAGAGCACAGATCATATCCAGATCATCTCTACAGTGGCATACAGTGGCAGTTTAAAACTATTCAGCTTCTTTCAGAAGGCCAATGGGCAGTCTTAAAGATTATCCTCAGTCATAACAATTATGTGTGAGGATATAATTTGAAGCACCTGGAGCAGAAATGATTTCCCAAGAGTATGCACACTACACAGCAATCTCCCTGCGTAGTGCAGTTTGAGCTCTTTGGTAGTGAGTATGTGGCACACTCTGCTGGTAGATGAGTGTAATATTTATTCTAGGAGCTAAGTGTGGACGTTACAGTGAAATAGATACCTGCAGCAGCAGAATGAACTGAGGGAATCTCTGGATGGGCTTCATCATGAGTCCATAGAGAGTGACCCGGTCACTGCTGGTGTCCTGACGATGCTGTGGAGAGAGAGAAGGACAATCAATGATTACTGATTGATGCAGTGCAGGACAATCAATACAGCACCACAAAGTACTTTTGTTCAGTCTGAAATCACATTCTGCACAGCTGTATCTCTGTATTTTCACAAGAGCATATTTTAAAAAAGACCTACAGTCGAAGTCGGAAGTTTACATACACCTTAGCCAAATACATTTAAACTCAGTTTTTCACAATTCCTGACATTTAATTCCCTGTCTTAGGTCAGTTAGGATCACCACTTTATTTTAAGAATGTGAAATGTCAGAATAATAGTAGAGAGAATGATTTATTTCAGCTTTTATTTCTTTCATCACATTCCCAGTGGGTCAGAAGTTTACATACACTCCATTAGTATTTGGTAGCATTGCCTTTAAATTGTTTAACTTGGGTCAAACGTTCGGGTAGCCTTCCACAAGCTTCCCACAATAAGTTGGGTGAATTTTGGCCTATTCCTCCGGACAGAGCTGGTGTAACTGAGTCAGGTTTGTAGGCCTCCTTTCTCGCACACGCTTTTTCAGTTCTGCCCATACATTTTCTATAGGATTGAGGTCAGGGCTTTGTGATGGCCACTCCAATACCTTGACTTTGTTGTCCTTAAGCCATTTTGCCACAACTTTGGAAGTATGCTTGGGATCATTGTCCATTTGGAAGACCCATTTGCAACCAAGCTTTAACTTCCTGACAGATGTCTTGAGATGTTGCTTCAAAATATTCACATAATTTTACTTCCTCATGATGCCATCTATTTTGTGAAGTGCACCAGTCCCTCCTGCAGCAAAGCACCCCCACAGCATGATGCTGCCACCCCCGTGCTTCACGGTTGGGATGATGTACTTCGGCTTGCAAGAAACCCCCTTTTTCCTCCAAACATAACGATGGTCATTATGGCCAAACAGTTCTATATTTGTTTCATCAGAACAGAGGACATTTCTCCAAAAAGTACGATCTTTGTCCCCATGTGCAGTTGCAAACCATAGTCTGCCTTTTTTATGGCGGTTTTGGAGCAGTGGCTTCTTCCTTGCTGAGCCGCCTTTCAGGTTATGTCGATGTAGGACTCGTTTTACTGTGTATATACATATTTGGTCACCTACAAACAAGCAAGATTTCTGGCTCTCACAGACGTGTAACTTCTTCTTTAAGAGGCTCCTCTGTCCTCCACTCGTTACCTGTATTAATGGCACCTGTTTGAACTTGTTATCAGTATAAAAGACACCTGTCCACAACCTCAAACAGTCACACTCCAAACTCCACTATGGCTAAGACCAAAGAGCTGTCAAAGGACACCAGAAACAAAATTGTAGACCTGCACCAGGCTGAGAAGACTGAATCTGCAATAGGTAAGCAGCTTGGTTTGAAGAAATCAACTGTGGGAGCAATTATTAGGAAATAGAAGACATACAAGACCACTGATAATCTCCCTCGATCTGGGGCGCCACGCAAGATCTCACCCCGTGGGGTCAAAATGATCACAAGAACGGTGAGCAAAAATCCTAGTGAATGACCTGCAGAGAGCTGGGACCAACGTAACAAAGCCTACCATCAGTAACACACTACGCCGCCAGGGACTCAAATCCTGCAGTGCCAGACGTGTCCCCCTGCTTAAGCCAGTACATGTCCAGGCCCGTCTGAAGTTTGCTAGAGTGCATTTGGATGATCCAGAAGAGGATTGGGAGAATGTCAAATGGTCAGATGAAACCAAAATAGAACTTTTTGGTAAAAACTCAACTCGTCGTGTTTGGAGGACAAAGAATGCTGAATTGCATCCAAAGAACACCATACCTACTGTGAAGCATGGGGGTTTAAACATCATGCTTTGGGGCTGTTTTTCTGCAAAGGGACCAGGACGACTGATCCGTGTAAAGGAAATAATGAATGGGGCCATGTATCGTGAGATTTTGAGTGAAAACCTCCTTCCATCAGCAAGGGCATTGAAGATGAAACGTGGCTGGGTCTTTCAGCATGACAATGATCCCAAACACACCGCCCGGGCAACGAAGGAGTGGCTTCGTAAGAAGCATTTCAAGGTCCTGGAGTGGCCTAGCCAGTCTCCAGATCTCAACCCCATAGAAAATCTTTGGAGGGAGTTGAAAGTCTGTGTTGCCCAGCGACAGCCCCAAAACATCACTGCTCTAGAGGAGATCTGCATGGAGGAATGGGCCAAAATACCAGCAACAGTGTGTGAGAACCTTGTGAAGACTTACAGAAAACGTTTGACCTGTGTCATTGCCAACAAAGGGTATATAACAAAGTATTGAAAAACTTTTGTTATTGACCAAATACGTATTTTCCACCATAATTTGCAAATAAATTCATAAAAAATCCTACAATGTGATTTTCTGGATTTTTTTTCTCTCATTTTGTCTGTCATAGTTGACGTGTACCTATGATGAAAATTACAGGCCTCTCATCTTTTTAAGTGGGAGAACTTGCACAATTGGTGGCTGACTAAATACTTTTTTTCCCCACTGTAGATACTTTTGTACCTGTTTCCTCCAGCATCTTCACAAGGTCCTTTGCTGTTGTTCTGGGATTGATGTGCACTTTTCGTACCAAAGTACGTTCATCTCTAGGAGACAGAACGCGTCTCCTTCCTGAGCGGTATGATGGCTGCGTGATCCCATGGTGTTTATACTTGCGTACTATTGTTTGTACAGATGAACGTGGTACCTTCAGGCGTTTGGAAATTGCTCCCAAAGATGAATCAGACTTGTGGAGGTCTACAATTATTTTTCTGAGGTCTTGGCTGATTTCTTTTGATTTTCCCATGATGTCAAGCAAAGAGGCACTGAGTTTGAAGGTAGGCCTTGAAATACATCCACAGGTACACCTCCAATTGACTCAAATGATGTCAATTAGCCTATCAGAAGCTTCTAAAGCCATGACATCATTTTCTGGAATTTTCCAAGCTGTTTAAAAGGCACAGTCAACTTAGTGAATGTAAACTTCTGACCCACTGGAATTGTGATACAGTGAATTATAAGTGAAATAATTTGTCTGTAAACAATTGCTGGAAAGATTACTTGTGTCATGCACAAAGTAGATTTCCTAACCGACTTGCCAAAACTATAGTTTGTTAACAAGAAATTTGTGGAGTGGTTGAAAAAACAAGTTTTAATGACTCCAACCTAAGTGTATGTAAACTTCCAACTTCAACTGTATATTTACAGTGGTGCTCTGACTGACCTTGAGGAAGTCTAGGAAGCTGGGTTTGGAGGCACACGTCTTCCTGACCACCGCCATGGCTGTGCTGAAGTTGTTCACATACTCACAGTAGGCGTCCAGCACCATGGACTTGGAGAACTGGGACCCAGATATATAGAGAGAGAGAGACAGAAAGGGGAGAGAGCAAGCCATTAACACCTCATACGAGTCCAATACAATCACAGTCAGGAATGGAATCAACCTGGATCCAGACAAAGGAATGGGGCTTCCTAGGGCCAAAATAAGCTGTTAGTTGGGCAGTGTGTTATGATGGGTGTTTCTGGCAAGGGATAAGAGAGGGAGGACAGTAGGGAAGGAGGCACACAGCACATGGGTAACATATGCTGTGTCCTGCTCCTGTGTTGTGGTGCCAGGGGTTAGGGGTCAGTAAAAACCTCAGGAAGAGGGAGGACTGGGGTTACTGGGGGAGTCTTTGTTTGAAGACCCCTGACCGGGTTGCTAGGCAGCGGAGACACCAGGGTGGAGCACTTCCTCCAAGAACCCAGTGCAGCTATGTGTGTGTGTGTGTGTGTGTGTGTGTGTGTGTGTGTGTGTGTGTGTGTGTGTGTGTGTGTGTGTGTGTGTGTGTGTGTGTGTGTGTGTGCAGTCATGGGACTAATGAGTCATGGTAAACTTTCACTATCGCTTCAGTCAGTGTTGTGTTCAATGGTGAAGCACAGTACAGGATATTGTGTGAGTAAAGGAATGTTTCTGTCCACTAGTTTTGACCATATGACCACTGTCAAATGGTTTACTCTTCCAGCCATCTTAAAAGTGAAACATTAGGAACTGAATCCTTCCTACAGTAGGTTCCCCAGCACTAAATCCTTCCTACACTTGTCCACCAACCCACCGAGGCTACAAAGACATCCCCAATCATCTCCAGACTGTCCCACTCGGCCACGCGGCACGCCAGGGCGATCTGGAACAGGGCGTGGCACTGGAGAATCTCCCGGATACGATAGAACGTCACCTTCAGCTTCCTATCGCTTAGCAACCTGGGCTCAATCTCCAAAAGTGGCTTTTCATATTGCTGATAGGAGAGAGGATAAGGATTATAAGGATGTGGGTGGTAGGAAATATTTTCCTGGAGGAAATCAGAGAAATTCTATATGAAATGTATAAACTGTAAAATAACATACCTCTAAAATCCGCTTCAGTGCATCAAGATAGTTCTTCTCACTCTCTAATATGGAGCCCAGTATACACCTCCTCACCACCTGTTGTTGTGAGAGCCCTTCAGGGACGGGACTGAGCACTGGCTCCATGTTGAAGCATTCCACTTCGATGAAGAGCTCCGACTCCTCATCCTCAAAACAGGTTGACTTCCTCTCTGAGATAAACAGGAGAGAGGAGGTCAGCTTAAATCAGATCAGCATCACCCAGGAGGTTAATACACATTGTTAGTGGATGATTCCTCTGTTACAATGTAAAGTGCTTGCAATTTATCCCAGATACACTAGTGTAATTAACTGACTAGTGTGCACTAAGAACCATAGTCCATGTTCTGTTCTTACGCTTACCATGACAGTGGGTCTTGATATACGACCGTCCCCTTTTCACTGCTGCTTTGGTCTTCTCCAAGCCGTCTTTGGTCCCGTCTCTCGCTGCCTTCACCAGCTTTTGCATCTTCAGGTAGCATCAACAACAGTAAATAGCACTCAGAGCAGACAGAGAGAACAGCATGCTACTGAAGTTCTTAGGGGATGATATAGGAACTGTGTTAGAAGAGAAGGGAATATGACAGCTCATGTAAATACAGGAGCAGGACCTCAGGGAGAGCAGGGTGGACCAGAGCAAGACAGCAACTGTGACAGCAGCTGAACTGAGTCAATCTAAATTAAAGGATTTTCACAAATGCATAAGGGCTAGAAGTGACGTGTACTTAACTGTAATCTCTCTATGTGAGACCTGTAAATAGGGAATGTCAGTAGTTTAGAGGCTCTTTCATTAGCCAGGGTAGGGTCTCAGAAGATTTACCTGGACTGCTACAACCCTCTGCTGAAAAGTATAACTTCATAACTCTATCTTTTTTTTATAGATTTGTTTGAAAATGTTCTGTAGCATCATTATTCAATGAGTGGACTAAAATGAACCTGTACGGACCTCCTGTCCAGGCCTACACACAACTCAGCTGCACTGGTGTCTCAGTACGCTGTAGAACTAAAGGCATGTCACTTAGGAGATGCAGTTGCCTCAACACCCATACAGTTGGCACATGTCAATGCAGTAGAGACAAACTCACCACCAGACATAAGAGCAGGATGAAGGGAAACTAGGTCTGAATCAGTCGGTGCGAGACACAGTGAGGGAGGGGTTAAGGAGGTTGAGGAGGCTCTATTTTGTCTAGCGGAGGGTGAAGACAGACACCGACCATGTTGAGGACATTTACCTTCTGCTCGTGTTTCTGTTTTATCTGCTGTAGCTCTACCGTTCCCACTGTACTTGCCATAAGATCTTTCATCTTTTTCTCATAGAGTTCTTTCAAGCGTGTCAGATCTTGAGAAAGCTAAACAAAAGCAGAGCATTTGACGCGTTACCAGACGGATCCTTTGAAGGTGGTCAGCCAGAGAAGATCATGCCCCTCACCCCAATCCGCCCACCCTCACCACAGCTAAGGCATTGCCTCCTCACCCATATTTTGTCTCCCGACCCACATATTATTCTTAAAGGTAGACTCAGCGATATGATGTAGATGCACAAAGCTTAGTGGGTCAATTTCAGCAAACAGCTAAGAGCGTTGAAGCGCAAGGTTAACCTTCTCTGCTGTTTTGGTCCCGTACCTACCACGCTCTAACAGCGTGAAGCGAACATTCACATGCGCAGATACTATGCATGACTCTGAGAAAGTCTTGCATCTCGCTCATCGCAATATCTGCGGTGCTGCTCGTGGCAATGTCACTTCGCTGAGTCTACCTTTAACAGGGCCAATCTCTGCCACAGAAGCCAAGCAGTCACTTTGTGCAGCCAGCGGAGTTATAACACTGAGACTTCCCTGGCAAGACCTCTGGGCTGAAAGAACAAGCAGGCCGTTCAATTCAAAACCAAATATACAAATGAACTGTATATTACAGAGAGCTTAGTAATAACATGTGCAGCCGGAAGACAAGAATAATCCTAGTGTATAAAAATGTGTATTAACATTAGCTGAAGTATTTTTCATTTTAAATATGAGGATGTCAAATATTTACTCATCTTCTGTTTAACTGGATATTGTATTTTATTATACATTCACTGTGTGCCACTGCTTCTGCTTCCTCATATGTTCAAGATGCTGAAATAAACGACACTCTTAGAAAAAAGGGTTCCAAAAGGGTTCTCCGGCTGTCCCCATAGGAGAACCCTTTTTGGTTCAAGGTAGAACCCTTTTTGGTTTCAGGTAGAACCCTCTGTGGAAAGGGTTCTTCATGGAACCCAAAAGGGTTCTACCTGGAATCAAAAGGGTTCTTCAAAGGGTTCTCCTATGGGGACAGCCAAATAACCATTTTAGGTTCTAGATCAGTGGAGGCTGGTGGGAGGAGCTATAGGAGGTCGAGCTCATTGTAATGGCTGGAATGGAATAAATGGAACGGAGTCAAACATGTGGTTTCCATATGCTTGATTTGTTTGATACTGTTCCATTAATTCCATTCCAGCCATTACAATGAGACCGTCCTCCTATAGCTCCTACCACCAGCCTCCACTGTTCTAGATATAACCTTTTTTTCTAAGAGTGTATCCTTCTTTAGAGTCTGTTGTTCTGTGGCGTCCATCTGCAGCTTTGTGCATCTCCTGGTGAATCCAGATGAGACACATATCCTTCATATCCTCTCTCAATCTTCTACTCCCCATAGTACATATAATCCCCTTCCTCTAGCATAGTATATTCCCCCTCTTCACCCTTCTCTTCCCTCCCCAGACGGACAGGTCTGTAGACAGAGGGGGTAAGGTGTTTAGTTTACACACATGGGTCTTCCTTTGTGGGGGCTTCCCTCTCATGAAGGCGTCAGGCAGGCCATTCTCCCCGCGGCCCTCCCCGTCACTCTGCTCGTCATAGCTCTCAAACTCGCTGGAGCTCCAACCGTTGTCCAGGGAGCTGCCGCAGCCCTCCTCTCCTAACTCCACATCGTCATAGATCATCTCGTCTGGCTCTGAGGGATGGAAGGGAAAGGGTTAAAATCAAGGGGAACAGCATTCAAATCAGGGTGAAATATATTTTAAACTGCAATGGTGCAATTTGTATTCACATACAGTAAGTTAGCCTGACCATATTTAGATCAGATTCCTTGGCATGAATTCTATATGCCATTTCTAGTGCATCAACTGAACATTGTATAGCCTAACACAGTTTGCTTAAGGGCACATAAAATGTATCTGATGAATAATTTCAGTACATTATGTTTTATAAATGCAAAAGAGGTAAAGACATTAATATGCAGAAGTACCCTGACGCTGTGGAAAAGAGGAACGACAGTACAATGAAAAACTGAAAGAAAGAAAGACAGAATAGAAAGACAAAAAAGAAGGAATACAGCACTAACCTGTAGTGGAGTCAGAGTTCTCTCTGGGCACATCATCATAAATTACTTCATCTGGATCTAAATGACAACGCAACCATGTTTGAATTAACAAGGTCTCAATTTGAAATAAATCTTCACACAACGGACAGGATTCAGTCTCAGGGAAGTCAAGAGGAGAGACCCCACAAGGGCCCGGTTCCTCAAAAGGAGCTAGAGGAAGGAAGTGTCTGGAAATTCACTTGAGTCAAGAATAAAAAGAACACCACTGTGTAGTCATGCATTGTGAACGGGACAGATTCAGGATGGACTCAGAACCTTACAATCCCTGTCCTGTTGTGTTCCAAGCAGACCAAAAAGTATAAACTAGGTAAATACAAATGGAAACAGGAAAGTAAAATAAACAGAAAATTGCAGAAAGGTATTTCTCATTGGGAAATGAGAAGAGGATGAGTACTTACTTTCCATCCAGGCTGTGTTTGCAGGGTCCGACACCCATTTAGACAAAGCATCCTCCTCTCTGATGGCAGGATACTCTTCACTGCAGACATTTGAATAAAATAGAGAAATCATAACCATCTGCTATTCCAACGCAAATAAGCAAGAATCCACTTCATCACAAATTCTGGCAGATCAACTCCAGTCTAGATGAGATAAAGCAGATCAGTGAAGAAAGATCCTGGCAGGCGAGTCACTCACATGTCAACAGAAATGTTGCCTGTCCCCACCACAGTATCTGGAGGGAGAGAGAGAGAACAAAAATCAACACTGATGACTCCTTCCCTAACATTACATACAATTAGCAGTTTGCGCTAAACCTTATGTACTGCCACCAGGGGGCAGCCACCACTGAAACTAAACTTGCATTTAAGAGATAAAAATAAGACCTGAAATTGATTGATAAGGACCTCAGATTAGATTGCTCATTCAAAAAACGGCAATGATAAACTGATATCTAATACATTCTCACATATTATCCGCAATGATAGGCTTACATGTCACAGAATATTTCCAACAGAAAAGCCTTACAGTATATTGGAACAATCAGTCAATGTGATAACATTTCAACTGTAGAATATACCTTTTAAAATACTATAAAATAGGAGTGACCCTCTGTGACATGTTGAGTAGCTTAATTACACTGCAATTTCCCCTCAGACTGGCCAAGGCACACATTTAACTACTACTGTAACATTAAAGAGAAAACAGGAAAATCCTCAAAGCCAACACAGAGTTTAGCGAGCGGCTAAATTTAGTCCCCACTTCCTGAGGCAAGGTTTTAGGAAAACATTGAAAATGCGAAGAAAGGAGAGGAAATATTTGTTGGGAGTACAGAGCATGCATGTGTCATGGCCTCTCATCCCAAAGTCAGTGGTGAAGAAGGGGGAGAGGACGGGGGAATTCCACTAACAAGATTGAATGATACGTTTGAACAGTGCCCACCACATATTTTCAGTGCTCTGTTCCTACTTTTCAGTGCTCTGTTCATTGTAGGAACACTATATCAAACGCATCACATCATGATAGTCTGAGGTTTGCAATATGAATGCAGAACAGAGTAGAAGGAATGGTAGGAATGGCTGTTAAAATCCTTCTAATTCTACATATTTCCACCATTGATGTGTTCTTCCTTTACCGTCCTCGTCCACGGAGAAGTGTCGGATGATGACGGGCGTGGTGTAGGCTGGCGTGATGAGGGGCACACCAGAGGGGGTGGCGTACCCACAGGGCACGGGCACAGAGTAGCCCGGGGGGACACAGGGGGGGCTGGCGGGGGGAACATCCTGGCCCTCACCCTCCTTCTCCCCCTCTCCTCCCACCCTCTCAACCGGTGAGGAAGCGACGGGCCCATGCTGCTGCTCCAGCTGCTGTAGTTGGAGGGGGGTGATGTCAATCACAGAGTAGGGGTTGACTTTCTTCTGGGAGGTGGTCCTGGGGGTGGCTGGGGGAGGGTCATCACTGGACACTTCCTTATCTGCAATGGAAATGTAACACACAGTACTGTTAGCCCCAAATGATCCCCATCAATACAACACAGCTACACACTGCTCTGAATGTGCTGGAACTAATTTGTTATCAGATTACTTTGCACAATTGCAAAATACTAAAAAGTACTGCCATAAAATTCCATAAGTGGAATTTGATGATACCACATCATGTCTATCATTGGTTAGGTGACTAAGCACTCCAACTTTCGATCATTGCAGAACACTGAAGAAGAATACTGTGATTTACAGCAGGTAGATAAACATTTAACTGCCACTACTTCAAATCTCAGCCTGTGAGCCTTCCCTCTCTTAAGCTTTCAATCAATCAGACAGAAGTGTCTTTACAGCAGAGAGAGAGAGAGAGAGAGGAGAGAGAGAGAGAGAGAGAGAGAGAGAGCGAGAGAGGGAGAGAGAGAAGAGAGGAGTAGAGAGAGAGAGATAGAGATATTCTCATCATACTAGATATAGATACTCGACTATCTATATATAGTATTATCGCTATATCTATCTATCGGCTCGACTACGCGGATCCATCACTAGATCTCTCTATTGCGTGATGATCCGTATCTCACTCTTAGCTATATCATAGTGAGATCAGAGAGAGATGAGATAGATATATGAGCGAGCTCGTCTCAGGCCCTGGGGTCAGAGGAGATAAATCACCATACACCCACTACAGACACATAAGCTGCAGGGTAAACACTACTGGTCAGCCACTGGAGAGGAGAGGGGCCTGGACTCGCAATTGGACTGGGTTGTAATTGTCAGAGGGGGAGAGACACAGCAACTTGGGCAGTGAGTGCTAGAGAGAGGAAAGAGCTTGGAATGTATGTGTTCGCAAGAGGTTGTTGGAGTCTCTAGTTGAAATGTGGGGTGAGTCTAACTGGGGTGATGGGGTAGTAGGGTGGGCCTCTCTCCTCTGACTGAGAGTCTGATAGAGAGAGTGGTAGTGTCCTGGTGGAGTCAAGCTGTGTGTGATGAATGTCAGGAGCCACCCTGAACCAGCCAGCCAGTGATATCAGGCGTCAGGAGAGAGACAGGCAGGGCTCCACTACACTAATGTCTATTCCAGCCTGACATGGAGCATGTGTCAGAATGAGGTAATACAACATGTGCTTAGGATGGACTGCATGACACCATCTACTGTACAGCACCCACTCAGTGTGGAGCAATGATATGGTTGTGGTGGTACATTATTTGTGTATGTTTAGTCTACAGTGAGACAGAGGATCCATCCTCAGACATCCAGGTGCTAAAGAAGAAAACGGAATAGTTGTTTTCACTAACCTGTGTTAACAGAGTCTGTGCCTACAGGAGTGGAGTCCTCTGGAGGTGGAGGAGGGGGTAAATCACTGTCTGTGTCAGCTGGGACTGGGACTGATGAAGCCTTGTCCCCTTCTGCTGCTGCCACTGGAGCTGTTGTGTCTGTTGTGGCCATGGCTACCGGAGCTTTCAGTGCTGCTGCCACTGTGTCTGTTGTGGCCATGGCTACTGGAGCTTCCGGTGCTGCTGCCACTGTGTCTGTTGTGGCCATGGATACCGGAGCTTTCAGTGCTGCTGCCACTGTGTCTGTTGTGGCCATGGCTACCGGAGCTTCCAGTGCTGCTGCCACTGTGTCTGTTGTGGCCATGGCTACTGGAGCTTCCGGTGCTGCTGCCACTGGAGCTGTGTCAGATGTCGCTGCTGCTGCTGGGGGCTCCGGGTTGGAGGGCTGGGGGTATGGTCCTTCCTGCTGTGGGTGAAGGGCCACACCATTGACCTGGGCCTGGCCCTGGGCCCTGTAGTCTGGGGCTGGAGGAGCAAGGGGCGGCCGGTCTGCCTTAGGGGCCTCATCCCCACTGTCGTCAAACTCAAACTGCTCCCCCTCTTCTTCATCCGCATAGGGCACCTCGTCCGCCAACACTAATCACAGAGAGAAAAGAGAGAGCTGGAGTCCGATAAATACAGCTTACCTATGTATGGCTTTGGATAGAGAGAGAGAGAACATGAGACATATGGAAGTAGAATAATTGAAGTTTAATCATTATGCTCAAATGTAGTTCTTCACAGTAGTGGCTTGACTTTTCCCTTCTCTCCAAAAATGTGAAGTCACCAAAGCCTGCCCCCACCAATGTCTATTCATAGCCACAAAGCGGGTGGTGGGTCAAGTTGAGACCCTCTACTAAGTGAAATATAAATCACTTCAACAAATGCAGGTTTGTAATTAGAAAAAGGGTGCGTCTATGTTTTCAATTGAACCCTGGCTAAATGATATACTAGAATAAAAAATACAGGAAGCTGAATATCATTTTGCTAATTCAATCCAAACGTAATGTAAGACAACTACCGGTAGTTACATTACAATGTTGAAAGCAAATTATTGATTGATTCAATGAACTGAAGAACATTTGCGCATTGATCCAACACAACATCAGATAGCCCACTTTACACAAACATTATGGAAAATATTATGGCAACATGGTGATGTTACGACAAAACAAATGCTTTACTTATAATGTACATAAGAGGTTGTGCACAAGAAAAATGTACATGCTACTTTCTGTTCAAGGAAACCAATGACTAACAGACGCGGGAGCCGAATAATATATTTGATTTGATTTATTAGGATCCCCATTAGCTGACACCATTGGCGACAGCTAGACTTACTGGGGTCCAACACATAACGAAAAATACATTACAAACAAAATACTTTACAATTTACATACTGTACCAGTCAAAAGTTTGGACACACCTACTCATTCAAGGGTATTTCTTTATTTGTACTATTTTCTACATTGTAGAATAATAGTGAAGACATCAAAACTATGAAATAACTCAGACCAAAGGACAGATTTCCACCAGTCTAATGTCCAATGCGCGTGTTTCTTGGCCCAAGCAAGTCTCTTCTTATTGTTGTCCTTTAGTAGTGGTTTCTTTGCAGCAATTCGACCATGAAGGTCTGATCCATGCAGTCTCCTCTGAACAGTTGATGTTGAGATGTGTCTGTTACTTGAACTCTGTGAAGCATTTATTTGGCCTGCAATTTGAGGTGCAGTTAACTCTAATGAACGTATCCTCTGCAGCAGAGGTAACTCTGGGTCTTCCTTTCCAGTGAGAGCTTGATGTTTTTTGCGACAGCACTTGAAGAAACTTTAAAAGTTCTTGATATTTTCCGTATTGACTGACCTTCATGTCTTAAAGTAATGATGGACTGTCATTTCTCTTTGCTTAGTTGAGCTGTTCTTGCCATAATATGGACTTGGTCTTTTACCAAATAGGGCTATCTTCTGTATACCCCCCCTACCTTGTCACAACATAACTGATTGGCTCAAACGCATTAAGAAGGAAAGAGATTCCACAAATTAACATTTAAGAAGGCACACTTGTTAATTGAAATGCATTCCAGGTGACTACCTCATGAAGCTGGTTGAGAGAATGCCAAGAGTGTGCAAAGCGGTCATCAAGACAAAGGATGGCTATTTGAAGAATCTCAAATATAAAATATATTTTGATTTGTTTAACACTTTTTTGGTTACTACATGAATTTAGTAAATAGTAAAAATAAAGAAAAACCCTCGAATGAATAGGTGTGTCCAAACTTTTGACTGGTACTGTACATACACACATATAAATACATAGTTGAAGTCAGAAGTTTACATACACATTTGCCAAATACATTTAAACTCAGTTTTTCACAATTCCTGACATTTAATCCTCGTAAAGATTCCCTGTCTTAGGTCAGTTAGGATCACCACTTTATTTTAAGAATGTGAAATGTCAGAATAATAGTAGAGAGAATGATTTATTTCAGCTTTTATTTCTTTCATCACATTCCCAGTGGGTCAGAAGTTTACATACACTCCATTAGTATTTGGTAGCATTGCCTTTAAATTGTTTAACTTGGGTCAAACGTTCGGGTAGCCTTCCACAAGCTTCCTACAATAAGTTGGGTGAATTTTGGCCCATTCCTCCTGACAGAGCTGGTGTAACTGAGTCAGGTTTGTAGGCCTCCTTGCTCGCACACGCTTTTTCAGTTCTGCCCACAAATGTTCTATAGGATTGAGGTCAGGGCTTTGTGATGGCCACTCCAATACCTTGACTTTGTTGTCCTTAAGCCATTTTGCCACAACTTTGGAAGTATGCTTGGGGTCATTGTCCATTTGGAAGACCTATTTGCGACCAAGCTTTAACTTCCTGACTGATGTCTAGAGATGTTGCTTCAATATATCCACATAATTTTCCTTCCTCATGATTCCATCTATTTTGTGAAGTGCACCAGTCCCTCCTGCAGCAAAGCACCCCCACAGCATGATGCTGCCACCCCCGTGCTTCACGGTTGGGATGGTGTTCTTCGGCTTGCGAGCAACCCCCTTTTTCCTCTAAACATAACGATGGTCATTATGGCCAAACAGTTCTATTTTTGTTTCATCAGACCAGAGGACATTTCTCCAAAAAGTATGATATTTTTCCCCATGTGCAGTTGCAAACCGTAGTCTGGCTTTTTTATGGCGGTTTTGGAGCAGTGGCTTCTTCCTTGCTGAGCGGCCTTTCAGGTTATGTCGATATAGGACTTGTTTTACTACTGTGGATATAGATAATTTTGTACGTGTTTCCTCCAGCATCTTCACAAGATCCTTTGCTGTTGTTCTGGGATTGATTTGCACTTTTCGCACCAAAGTATGTTCATCTCTAGGAGACAGAACACGTCTCCTTCCTGAGCGGTATGGCGGCTGCGTGGTTCCATGGTGTTTATACTTGCGTACTATTGTTTGTACAGATGAACGTGGTACCTTCAGGCGTTTGGAAATTGCTCCCAAGTATGAACCAGACTTGTGGAGGTCTACAATTTGTTTTCTGAGGTCTTGGCTGATTTCTTATCATTTTCCCATGATGTCAAGCAAAGAGGCTCTGAGTTTGAAGGTAGGCCTTGAAATACATCCACAGGTACACCTCCCATTGACTCAAATGATGTCAATTAGCCTATCAGAAGCTTCTAAAGCCATGACATCATTTTCTGGAATTTTCCAAGCTGTTTAAAGGCACAGTCAACTTAGTGTATGTAAACTTCTGACCCACTGGAATTGTGATACAGAGAATTATAAGTGAAATAACCTGGCTGTAAACAATTGTTGGAAAAATTACTTGTGTCATGCACAAAGTAGATGTGCTAACCGACTTGCCAAAACTATAGTTTGTTAACAAGAAATTTGGAGTGGTTGAAAAACTGGTTTTAATGACTCCAACCTATGTGTATGTAAACTTCCGACTTCAACTGTACATATACACATGCATACATACATATCTTTTTTTTCAAATATATTTTCCTTTATTACTTTCTAACCCTACCACCCCTCCCCTAATTGGAGTAAACTAGTGAACAACAACGCTTAGGCCTCTACTTCCAGCTTATACATACTTTATACATTTTATGGACACGGTCCATTTTACAATAGTTATATTTTGTTTGTTTTTACTCCTGTCCTTCCTCTACCCTCAACCTCTCCCATCTATTTCTGATGTCCATCCGGTTTGAATACTATTTGCCATATCTTTCAAACTGTGCAGTCAGTCTTTCCTCAACTCTTAGCCAAGAGAGACTGGCATGCATAGTATTTATATTAGGCCTCTGATTACACTGAAGAGCAATACATGCAGCTCTGTTCTGGTCCAGCTGCAGCTTAACTAGGTCTTTCTTTGCAGCACTTGACCATATGACTGGACAACAAAGATAAGATAAAACTAGAGTCTGCAGGACTTGCTTTGTGGAGTGTGGTGTCAAAAAAGCAGAGCATTATTTATTACGGACATACCTCTCCCTCTCTGTATAACCATTGAATGTATATGTTTCAACCATGACAGTTTACAATCTAAGGTAACACCAAGTAATTTAGTCTCCTCAACTTGTTCAACAGCCACACCATTCATTACCAGATCCAGCTGTCTAGAACTTAGGGAATGATTTGTACCAAATACAATGCTCTTAGTTTTAGAGATGTTCAGGACCAGTTTATTACTGGCCACCCATTCCATAACAGACTGCAACTCTTTGTTAAGGGTTTCAGTGACTTCATTAGCTGTGGTTGTTGATGCATATATGGTTGAATCATCAGCATACATGGACACACATGCTTTGTTTAATCCCAGTGGCAGGTCATTGGTAAAAATAGAAGAGAGTCGAGGGCATAGACAGCTGCCCTGTGGTACACCACACTTTACATGTTTGACATTAGAGAAGCTTCCATTAAAGAAAGCCCTCTGAGTTCTATTAGATAGATAGCTCTGGATCCATGATATGGCAGAGGTTGAAAGACCATAACACATAAGTTCTCAACAATAGGTTATGGTCAATAATATCCAAAGGCTGCACTGAGATCTAACAGTACACCTCCCACAATATTCTTACTGTCAATTTCTTTCAACCAATCATCAGTCATTTGTGTCAGTCCAGTACATGTTGAGTGCCCTTCTCTATAAGCATGAAAGTATGTTAATTTGTTTACAGAGAAATATCATTGTATTTGGTCAAAATACATTTCCAACAGTTTGCTAAGAGCTGGCATCAAGCTGATAGGTCTTCTGCTAGAACCAGTAAAGGCCACTTTACCACTCTTGGGTAGCGGAATGACTTTGGCTTCCCTCCAGGCCTGAGGACAAAGACTTTCCTCTAGGCTCAGATTAAAGATATGACAGATAGGAGTGGCTATAGAGTCAGCTACCATCCTCAGTAGCTTTCCATCTAAGTTGTCAATGGCAGGAGGTTTGTCATTATTGATCGATAACAATAATCTTTCCACCTCACCCACACTAACTTTACAAAATTCTAACTTACAATGCTTTTCTTTCATTATTTGTTTTTCTATGCATGAGTATGATGGCTCACTGTTCATTGTTGGCATTTCCTGCCTAAATGTGCCCACTTTGCCAATTAAGTAATCATTAAAAAAACTGGCAACATCAAATGGTTTTGCGATGAATAAGCCATCTGATTGAATGTCTTTCTGCCCATCATTTCATTTAAAGTACTCCAAAGTTTTTTCCCATCATTCTTTATATCATTGATCTTGGCTTCATAATACAGTTTCTTCTTCTTTTTGTTAGGTTTAGTCACATAATTTTCAATTTGCATTAAGTCATCCAGTCAGATGTGCAGCCAGACTTATTAGCCACTCCTTTTGCTCCATCTCTTTCAACCAGACAGTTTTTCAATTCCTCATCAATCCATGGAGCCTTAACAGTTCTAACAGTCAGTTTCTTATCAGGTGCATGTTTATCAATAATTTGAAGAAGCAATTTCATAAATGCATAAAATGCAGCGTCTGGAGGCTCCTTATTAATCACATCAGACCAACAAATATTTTTAACATCATCCACACGATGCAATTAGGCAAACAGGAAACAGTTTTGTCACACCCCCAATGACCAGGAAAACAACTGTGTTTCCCATGAATCCTGGGCTGCATCTCAATAATCCAAACTGGCTTTCCTTCCTTATCTAATTTCAGATCAATGTTGATGAAGGAATAGAGATGAGGAAAGAAAGCCACTTGATACTATTGAGATGTAGCACTAGTGTTCCAGAGGAGGCCCAGGCATCCCTGTATGACTAGGTTCTGACTCAGCTACAATAGAATGTGGGTGAAGCATGGTCCATAAAACACTATGTGAGGTGGCTTTCTCTCTCTGACCTAAACTGTGCTGAGGATGCATATGGAATGTAAATGTCACCATAGACCTCATTCAGAGGTATTGGGTTAGAGGCAACCTGATCTCGCTCTCCAGTTTATTGTTCTTTTCACTGCTATATGAGGTTCCTTTGGGAGGGTTGTGTGTTGGTTTAGTAACAGGGTGTTTGTTCAGCTGTACGTGTGACAGATTGAGGACACCGACTGACACAATTGTGTAAGGCGTAGGAAAAGACCTGTCAAATCAAATCTCGAAAGGCATTGTGAGAGCACATCTCTGGTACTTTCTGACAGCGGAGGGGAGTGAGGAACTGACATACTGAATAAAGGAGGTGAAATAGGCCAGATAAAGAGAGAGGGGTGTAAAGAGGAGAGGAAAGTATGTAGCCTAAAGAAAGATAAAAAGCCATAACATTAGAATCCCTACTGGAATGCTGGCAAAGGGTTCACAGAAGGTGACACAGCCAGAATTCATCAGTGGAATAGATTAAAGGAATGCTCTGTATTCAGCCCATTCAAACATCCCCTTCTCTCTACAGGAGTCCAAGTACATGGACTTCCTATTGGATTCAGATTCCTATACCACAGTTTCCCTATGGGAGGCGGGAGCTCCAGTTTAGGAGGTCACAACCCCATCTGAGACTGCTACTTTACCTCCCTGGCCCGGGCGGACGTTTCTAACAGAAACTGGCACACCTCTGCTCCTAAACATACCACAGATTCCTCACGCCACTCAGTCCCAGTACAAACACTACTGTCCTATCAGGATTCAAGTTTCCCCACGACTAGGTTAACCAAGGTAAACTCTCATATCCTGACTGTTCCTGCTAAGAAACTAAGGAAAATTCCCTTTTCTCTCCCAAGTTCTGGACCAATTTCCTGAATGACCAAACCAGAGGTAACAATTCCTATCCCCCTTTGGATTTCTATATGAGAAGATTTCCTACTAAGATTTCTCAGTATAGACTGACACCTTTTTCCTTTTGACCCCCATTCACATAAATTCCATTTCCTGTCCTGGCTAAGTGCTTCCTGTTTGATTGAGTAAACTCTAAGCTGACATTTAGACAGCCATTACTAGAAACAACACTGTCTAATATAAATACACAAGGGTAAGTAAGGCTACAGGTTAAGCCCACTAACCATCAACCACATCACTCATAAGTTACTAACCCCTCAGGCCTAAATATGTCCTTACCCACGGTCTTTCTGATACACAGACCAACCACTCAGAGACCCAAAAGGCTTTGAAGCTCTACAGCACTGTGAGCCCTTTAGTCTAAATACCCATCATGACTCCCTAAGGGGTTGACAGGAAGTGTTCTAGCCCTCAGTCTGGAGTTATGACAATGGTCTGTGACTATGCTATTGGGTTTAACTGTGACCTCTGACCTCTATGTACACCCCGAACTAAACTATGAATGCGCTAGAGCAGAACATTAGGAGGGAAAACCTGGAAAGAGGTGTTATCTGCTGTTCCCACCTGTGATAATGAATAGCTGTGTTGGACCAGTTAGAAAGATAAGGCACAGCTAGCCACTGCCTGGAGGGCTGTTTCACTGCTGAGCCATGGGATGAATATTCATTATTGTGCGTCTCCACTCTCTGACGCACAGGCTGGGCCAAGTAAAGCAGAGCTGGATGTGATGTAACAGGGTTCGTATAAAAGCTTGAACAGATTATTCGTTTCAATTGCCCATTCCATAATTTGGTCACGATCGAGTGTAAATGATGAAGCCATGGATGGTTGGTGCTGTGAGAATGTGCGTGCCTGCAGTCTGCCCAATACCCTCTCTAGCTAGCACACACACAGAGACACAGACACACAAACACAGAGACACACACCACACACACACACACACACACACACACAGAGAGAGAACTAGGCCTGTCCCGAACGCCCATTGTCAATTCATAACCACAATATGGATTCTGTTCCCGTGCCTCCTCTCCGCTCCGCCACACTGCTCCGCTCAATGAGTCACTGGCTTACAATGTGCTCCAGCATCGCCATGGCAACAAGGCAAGTGGCTGCCCAGCTGGAGACTAGGCATTTCTCTGGCCTGCTCCATTCCCTGCGGTGCGTTTGTGTGTGTGTGTGCCTGATGCTGCAATATTCAACCAGGGCTTGGATACTGAGGCACATTGTCTGCCCTTCGCAGTTGTGGCACATTTCTCCTCCTCTTCCTTGTCCTCGTCCTCCTCCTCCTCACTCCTTCGTTCCATGGCCCACGAGCTCCAGAGGAGAGGAATGTGTTGTTTACATGCTCTGCCCATCATGAAAAGGCCCTCTGGGAGCTAAACTGACCATCAATGTGTCAGCTGAAACAGACCTTTCAAACCTGTTACCATCAACAGGACTAGCGGAAAAATTATACATAGATCCCCATCATCATCAGCCAAAACAGCCTTTAAGACCTGTTAGTTTGAGCAACATTAGCTGACTACTCAAAAACATTAACAATAATACACATACTGCACTGGGAGTAACAAAGGGACAAGTAGAGACGGTCACTGTCTGATAACATCTCAGGACGACAAGCTAAATCCACCAACGGACATGACATAATGACATCACCAAGTAGCGCCTCACACTCATCTCAGAATGGAAAACAATAAACAGAGCATGTGTTCTCGTTGGCTGTGGGGGGATTTACAAGAGCTGGGAGAGATTGAGTCAGAGAGAGAGCGAGAAAGAGGGGAGGAGAGGAGGATGTTGGCGTTACTTACTTTCAGGAGGCGGGGGAGGGAAGTCTTCCACGATGTCCATACTGGGTGCTGTTTCTCTGGGCATACAGGTTCACTCAGCAGCCTGGTGGTGGTGGTGGTGGTCCTCTACACTCACACATAGCCCTGGAGGAAACACACACATGGAGGAATGTCAGAGGTGGCACGCTATGATATACTCTACACTTATTCAATTAGCTAAGCATAGAAGAATGTTCCTAAGCATCACCTGGTCCAGAGGTATTCCGGGCATCATGGCCAAGTTTTAGCCTAACTAGAGTTTTGCCTGGTAAGGTCACATGGTATAAGTTAGGGCTTAGAATTGCCAGGGACCTCATGATCCGATATTATCACGATACTTCGGTGCCGATACGATATGTATTGCGATTCTCACAATTCTCTTCATTCTATATGTATTGAGATTCGATAATGCGATTTGATGTTCCAAACATATTGCTCACTATATGTCTTTCCTTACAGCACTCGAACACATGACCGGACAAGGTAAGACTAAACTAGAGCCTACAGGACTTGCTTTTTGGAGTGTGGTGTCAAAAAAGCAGAGCATAACTTTATTAAGGACAGACCTCTCCCCATCTTTACAACCATTCAATCTATACTACCAGTCAAAAGTTTGGACACACCTACTCATTCAAGGGTTTTTCTTTATTTTTACTATTTTTTTACATTGTAGAATAATAGTGAAGACATCAAAACTATGAAAAAACACATATGGAATCATGTAGTAACCAAAAAAGTGTTAAACAAATCAAAATATATTTTATATTTGAGATTCTTCAAATAGCCACCCTTTGCCTTGATGACAGCTTTGCACACTCTTGGCATTCTCTCAACCAGCTTCATGAGGTAGTCACCTGGAATGCATTTCAAATAACAGGTGTTCCTTCTTAAAAGTTAATTTGTGGAATTTCTTTCCTTCTTAACGCGTTTGAGCCAATCAGTTGTGTTGTGACAAGGTAGGGGGGTATACAGAAGATAGCCCTATTTGGTAAAAGACTAAGTCCATATAAGCAAAGAGAAACGACAGTCCATCGTTACTTTAAGACATGAAGGTCAGTCAATATGGAACATTTAAATAACTTTTAAAGTTTCTTCAAGTGCAGGTGCAAAAACCATCAAGTGCTATGATGAAACTGGCTCTCATGAGGACCGCCACAGGAATGGAAGACCCAGAGTTACCTCTGCTGCAGAAGATAGGTTCATTAGAGTTACCAGCCTCAGAAATTGCAGCCCAAATAAATGCTTCACAGAGTTCAAGTAACAGACACATCTCAACATCAACTGTTCAGAGGAGACTGTGTGAATCAGTCCTTCATGGTCGAATTGCTGCAAAGCAACCACTACTAAAGGACACCATTGACACCATGTTGTGTAAATCAAATGATACAAATCCCCCAAAAATCAATTTTAAATTCCAGGTTGTAAGGCAACAAAATAGGAAAAATGCCAAGGGGGGGCGAATACTTTCGCAAGCCACTGTAGGTTACGACGTTACTCCTCGCAGTTTCAGACTGGGCAGGTTGCAGGGAAGATTGAAAACGAATGGAGACAGAAAACCCTGGGAGGTCATCATTACCAGTGTGTGTGTGTGTGTGTGTGTGTGTGTGTGTGTGTGTGTGTGTGTTTGCGTGAGTGTTCAACATCCCTTCCTTTAGGATTCAAAGCAGGCTTAGATTCAGGCTTCCATGCTGCTCTCAAGCAGCTGGTCACCTGTTGATTCAAATAGTGATAGTCAATAATCTACTACCGTACCTTTAACACCCTCTGATCACTCATGCAATAACCCAGGGTTAACGGCTACAAGGTTCAACTCTAATTAACATCTGATAACAGCTGTCCAAATTTAGCAGTTGTTTTCATTGTTTTAAAGCCAGTTTTCCTCACAGAATAACTAGGCCCATTTAGTTTACAAATAATCCAGTTGTCAATTAGACTCTGTTTTTGTTGATGAGAGCTGGAAATGACTCAATGTAAATAACAGCTACAATTATTCATTGCAAACAGCTGTTATCTGATGTTCAGTAGAATGTTATGAAATATAGTTTGCTTATTCTAGGCTAGCGTAACATTATTTTCTAATAAACTTCTGCATGTACAGTACTGTTCACATGTACACATTACAGATCAATACTTTTTAGCCTGTAAAAGGCATAATATTTGCTGACAGATACAGGGTAGAGTGACAGGTTTGCAGAGGCATATGGGGTCAGGAGTCAAAGTGAGGGTGGGGTTAACAACAGAGGGCTTATTTTACATCTGGTGGGAAATGTCACATGCATGCTAAGGCAGGAAACTCACTGACATGCACAGACATGAGACCAGAGAGACAGTGTATTCTTCCACTGTCTGACAAATAGATAATGGACACATGGAAGATCAAACAAAATAAACTTCAAGTTTAGGTTGAAGTGGGTCAACAAGTCCTGCATTAGCCTACTTCTATCAAATACAACTAGTCTGTCAGTCTCCCCTCAAGGGTGGGTGAAATAGCAGTGATGTCATTCCATAAAATAAGAGGTCTCGTTGTAGAGTTCTAGTGAGTTCCATACTGTTACAGATCTTCTGCTCTCAAATTCAATTCACACCATAATAAAACAAGCTTACAGTACAATAAAATAATCTGTGAATAATACTGCTCCATTCCACTGATGCCAACAAGAGCCAAAAGTTAAACCATTTACAAGCGACTCAAAGCTTGTTTTGTCTATGAATAATGTCAGCTCCTCTGTTTGTCTCCACCCAGAGTACAGAGCAGCACGGGGTCAGGGCAGTACAGTACAGTGGATGTGAACACCACAAGACCAGCGTTTTCTTCTGTACTGTATGTCAGAGAGTACAGTCAGGTAGAATATCTTTGTCCTGGAGACAAAATATAACTGGCCTAAGTTAAGAACTAGACGTGATTAACTGGACAGATCTAGACACGTATAAAAATCCTAAAAGAATGGGATACACCCTTAATTTGGCTAATAAAATGATTCATCATTGCTATCCTCAGGAGTACTGTATGAGCTGTGACCGAGGAAGGAAGGGAGGCAGGGAGGGAGAGATGGGGGAGGGAGGGGGTAAAGACAAAATGCAGCAATCAGGTGTGCTCTCATCCTCTGGGCTTCCTCAAGCAGAAAGATAAATACATCCCTTTCTGGCATTAAACATTTCCCAAATTAATACCTTTAATATGGTTATTCTGATGGCCCATGTCTTCTATTTGATTAACGTGACGTTTAAATGAAACCTATTGTCTCATTTTTACAGAAATCCTTAAAATGAAGGACTCAACAGACTTAAGTCCAGACAGACAGCCTTTCTCATAATGACATTACAGCTTTTTAAAAAGTCTGGAGATTCCTCCATTTACCTCCCGTTGACTCCTAGAATTATTCTTCCCAGCTCTTTTAGTTGCTGGGCGGAAACGAGACGCACCTCGGCCAAATGACATCATGCCTGGCCTCTAGTGGCATCTAGTCCGTGTTCCCTGGGGAAGGGGGGAGTCCTCTCATATACATACAACCACTCACTGCTTGTCTGTCTGTAAGCACCCTAGGCTTAGTTCACAGCATCAGGCCTATTGGATGCCTCCAAACATTCCTTTAAAGTAGGTCTCGGTGGCAGGCAGGCAGGCAGGCAGCTGAGCCAGCGGCGGCCCACCCATTAGGGCGTTAGGGGCAGCACTCCACTTCTGATTGGTCAAAGAAAATACACAATTACCTGTACACATAGTGTAAAACAAGCTGATCAGTTACTCTCTACTCTGCCCCTCAGAGACTGCCAGCAGCAGCAGCAGCTCCGCCTCCACAGGCTCATAAGCCTTGCGAACATTGCTTGAATTGTTTAGCCAGTTATTTGCTATGAGGGGGAACTGCTAGCATAAATTATAACAGCACAAAGTAAATGGACCATCCTGGGGCGGTCAAATGTGCGTTCAGTCAGAACTTCTGGGTCTGCTCTAGTCTCCCTCCCAATATGTCTCTCGCGCCAGATGGCTTAGTTCCGCATGTGAGACTAGATCTGCTCTATCAGGTACAAGCAAAAAGCTAATTGTAATGAACTTGTAAATAAATAATAATGGGAGCCTGGGACCTGATAAACCAGATAGGGCTGACCCCATTTAGTCGACTGGTCGATTGTTTGGTCGATAGGCAGTTGGTCGACCTAAAAAATTATTGTTGAGCAGTTTCAACAACAAAAATTAAATGTTATGGCACATCCTGTCTCAGTGGACTAATCCATTGCGGAGGCCGTGGGGATGGCACACCAATATCACCAGTAGTACATTTACCCTTAATTCCCATCATTTGTCATCTACAATGTTTGTTTGGTTACCATAATTAAATAAATAAAAATATTATTATTACAGTCTTTTACTGTAATGGACACGTTGTTTGCAGAGCGCACAACCTAGGCTACACTTGTGAGAAATACATTTTGGTTTATTTCATTCTATTTACGAGTTGTCAATTTATTAATTGCGTTTTGTT